GCTCTTAAACATCACTCCATATTTTTATATGTAAAACTAGTGACCCACCACGGCTACGCACGGTTTTAATGTATTTATTATACATATAAATCTTCCTCTTGAATAACTCCATCTAGTAAAAAAACCGCATCAAGATCCGTTGCGTAGTTTTAAAGATCTAAGCATACATAGGGACAGACACACAGCGAGACGACTTTGATTTACTATGTAGTGACATATTTTTATATGTAAAATTAAAACTCACTTATTCAATTCAACTAAGTCTAAATAAATGACGAGTCATTTTAATTTAATACTTGATATGCTACAAGAACTATGACCCCTGCTTTCGAATTCTTAGACATAATTATCGGTGTCGTTTCATCTTTCACTCTATTTTCCTTTGTCTTTCGTCACTATGTTGTAGAATTGGGTTCTTTAGTTTTGAAATGAAAATTGGTTTCAATTAAAATGATAGGTTGTTACTACGTTGTTTATCCTTTAGAACTTAAGCTATAGTCAAGGCGTGTAAAAACACTTATAACTTGCAATATGAGCTAACTACACGTGTCGACTTTATTAATTAAGCAACTCCCCGGAGTTGTGTTACAGTGAAAATAATTAACAGAACGGCCCTGTATCTATTAAAACGACTAATGGAGGTTTTCGTAACCAGACCTACGTTATAATGGGATTCAGTTCATATTGACGACAAGCCCTAATAGCATTAAAAGTACGAACACCATTTTTATGATTAATCAAGTTATGTAAATTAGTTTCTTTTCATATTGTTAATTGTCAACCCGTCAGTTATTGATCAGAATTCCTTACTAATGTATACTAGTATGCTTAATGTCTTGATTGAGAGCACTTGTTTTGTAAAGAAAATGGGTTTGTACAAAACCTTAAATCTGCAAAATACTTTCACTGACAAACTTCATTTACTTACATTCAAAAGTGGCTTCTTGTAAAGAATACTAAAAGGTGTTTAGAAGTATAATCAACAATCAGTTGAATAGTTTCAATAATTGAATACTTTCCATAATTAATAAATGTTCGTTAAAGTTATAAAAAAGCACAATAGTTTTTATCTTGAAGTCCTAACAGGCAGCGACCAAAATTGCCTGTTTTACACCGACCTAAAGTGCGCCAAATCTTTATAAACGATACGAATACCTGGAACGTATAAACTATTGTATAAAATATTTTAGACGCTTTATATATTATAATGAAGTTAACGTCAGATTGAATTGGGATAGTCGCTCTTATACAGTCTCTCTTTTTATTGTGAACGCCTTAATACGATGAACGAAGTAGAGTTCTATTTTCATACATAAAATAAAAATACATGTTAAAAATTTCTCTTCGGCACCCGTAGCAGTCGAATTTGCCGAGTAAATTTTAAAGGAAAAACTCCGCCGTAGTAGTAAGTCGATGGGGAGTTATAACGAGAATCTCTTTTGACACAAGTATTGAGTCGACTCCACCTTTCGGGAACTCTGTGTAGAAAATTTGCCAAAACGTTTATTTTGATTTGTTATTCACAATTTCACAGATTTAAGATTTGGTTTTTGTATGTGAGTATATAACTTTTGGGCACAATGATTTACTGGTAAAAAGCACGACCTATTGAATTAATGGAACAATCAACAATTCTCCATTGCCATCAATAAAAACCATAGACTTAGCATCTACATTCTAAATCTATGATAAAAACAAACTTAGATCAAACAGACATCATATCTTTTATGAATTATTCATAAATGTCTGACCGGGCGAATTGTTTTAAATGGTCACTTGGCCAATAAATTGCACGTCATATTGCGAGTTTGATACTGACATGTGACGAAAATTTGTAAAGTATCATGTGGCCGTGTTTTCACGTTTGAGAAATACTCTAGACACAGAAATTGTTTTAGAAATTTTCAGATATTTTTCAAAAGTAAAATGTTACTGTTATTTACCCATGTCTGGTTGTTCTTAATTTTTAATTAAAATCCATCTTATTATTTTTTTATCATCGATTATCTTCGAAAAGTTTTATTTTTTGTTATTATGGCATTGTATGTACGATGCAGTAAGCCCAATACGATTGTAATAGACGGGCGAATTAAGTCGTACGGCTGTCTGACAATCAGCAACAGAACCCATGAACACAATATCGACTTAGCTCTAGATACTTTATCGCTAGTCACACAGACTTTAAAAAGTATTTATTTATGAGCTTCATGGTTTGCACATTTAATTCTCACAATCTTAAATATTGTTATTTTACCCCAAAAATGTAAAGGGTGTAGAAGTACATTGTACGAGCGCTCACTTTTTGTAAAAATAATATTTCAAAGATGATATCTCCCAATCGGTCATACTTATATATAGTCTACTTCTAGAATCCTATCAACGGTTATAGCGCCGTCAGCATAATACTTTATATTTATCCTTCTTCGAATAGTTATATATTCACTCAGGCGGTTATGCTGATGTATTGCGTAAACTAGTGTTACCGCTAAAACATTTAACGCATAGTACAGTGTTCTTGTAAACGTTTATGAGAGAGCTAAATGCTCTATGGATCATTAACCATAATAATAGGAATGCATAATGCGCTAGAAGAGCATAAATAAGATTCACCACACTAGGACGAGTCAAAATCCAAAATAAACACACTTTTGAGGCGCTTTAGTTTTTCTTTTTGTAGTTTACCGGAGTGCCATGTCTTTTTATAATATATCCAACTTATATTAATCTACCTATTTTGACAACTTTCTTATTTGGCTTGTGGAAAATGTGATTTTAAATTTAGTTACAAATAGTCACATAGCAAATAGCGTTGCACGGTTCATTCAACACTCAGCAATTCTTTCTCTCTCTCTCTCTCTCTATCACACACACTGCCTCTTTCTTACACGTTCGCTAGTTAAAGATGAACCTTTACCATAAAAGCAATTAATGCGAAATATAGTTAAATATAAACTCTATTTGCTTGCAAATAAAACATTTTTGGTTTTTACTATTGGTTTAGTTTTACAACTTTGGATAGTCTTGTCCGAATTATTTTGTAAATTAATAAACAAGAAATATGATTACCGTCAATATAATCATAACATGTTGTTAACAATTTATGTTAAATATGGTCAAAGTATAATAATTTATACCTACCCAAAGGATAAAAAACCACCACTGTAAGTTGTGATCTCTTCAAAATATTCCTCAGCCAGTCCATAAAACGAATCTCGAGCCAAGTTTGACAATGGCACCGGGCCGGGTGATGATTGTGTACATTGGCAGTCTTTGCATATCTTTTACTTCTTCTAGATTATTCTTGAGGTCCAACTTCAAAGTATTTGCTATTTCTCACTTGATTCACCGGAAAAAGATCATCCTTGATTTGGCATATCTTCCAGAACCCGCACTTCTCTTAACCGAACCGGTCTTTTGATAAAGCTGCCGGTCCTTTAGACTGTCAGACGAATGTGAGTCGTCTTGCAGTAACCTCTAAGCTACGAAGCCATAGTTAGCTGCAACCCTCTTTAAAAAGTCCAAGAATTTTACTGTGTTTTATCAATTTATCTGCCATTTTACCACTAAACAGTAATAATAAAACTTTTTTTATCTATCAAGGAAATTATTTATAATTCAATGAAAATTGCCTTAAGACTCCTAAACTTACTTACTCTCGGGAATAAGCGCCGCAAAATGTAACAAAAATATATTTTCCTCATAAATCTGCTTTAGTACAACATTTGAATTTGGAACGATAATTTTTAAACAACCCGGCAATTTCCTAACCAGCCAGTAAAATGTTCAAAAGAATAAAAGCGCGCTTGCCTTTTTTTTTTTTATTTGCAAACGTGTGTACATTTCCTTATTTCTAATATATGTATGCTCGTTAATTTTAAATCGCTTGTGTATCTATGTGGAACGTAATGAGAATATATATTTACTTTACAAAAATGTTAATTTAAGCGAGCCATGTGATGTTTTTTTTTATTTTTTTAGAGTAAATAGATCTTTTCGGCTACGTAACATTCGCTCATCATGTAATATTATTAACTAACCCAATTTCTGCCGTATGGATAATCCACCACTACCATACATCGTAAAGAGCACCGCACAAAGGAAATGCGCGGGCGTTATTTATGTCCACAGTACATAAAAGTTAGTTCCAATACATTTGATAATTTATCGACTTGTGGACCTATTTCGCGTCGTAAAAGTTTCAGTGGTGTTGTTCACTCCGTAATAATTTCCACTTAATCCGAAAGCATATAATTTACGAGGCGGATATTAAAACGACCGTGAAGATCACCCAAGAAAGCGGTCAAAAATATAGCGCGTGAATAATAAAAAATCAACAATAAAAATAGAAAGGAATCGTGTGTGGCTTTTGACATCATACTAAATCGCGTGAGGACACATTTAATGAGTGTTATGTCTCAACTTTGAAACATGTTGAAAAACGTTCGAATTAGCCCGCGTGGTTAGTTATATTCGACAAAATATGTCAAGCAGGTTTATAAGAATAATTCTTATAAAATTATTTATCTACTTTCAACTCATCCTTTCGTATAAATTTTAACTTGCATATTTCTCTTTCTTTGGTTATGTTTCACCACACTTTAATGTACTATACATAAAACTTTAAAATTAATTTAATTTTTTTCGTTCACAGTTAATTTTTAGTTAGTAATTTTTATTAAAGAAAACGTTTTCGTTTTAATTAATTAAATTAAATTAAATAATTATTAAATTAGAAGAAACTTATTTATACCATACTATCATTTATTGGATTCGACGGGACTGCGTTTTTTGTTTGCAATCTGACGCAAGTTTTTTTAACTTAAAAAGTAGATGCATCAATAAGTTTCTATAAAGAAGACCTAATAGAGTCGGCACAAAATGTACAACTTCAGACATGACAAGTAACTCGCCTGACTCGGTGGCAGGGATAAATGTCAAAGCTCAATCACCAAATTTCTTTCTCTTTGAAGCATGTTACACAAACATTGCTATCTTTTCAGAACAGATCACCGCCGCCGTCGAACATCCCTTCGGCCTTGCTGTACTCCCCTCCGGAACCACTTGAGGTGAGTGTTGACTTCTTATCATTGTAACTAGGTTTAATATCAAATTCTGTAATTGATATTAAACACAATTATACATAAAAGGTAAAAAAAATTATTGTAATTTTTTTTATGTGACAAAGTGGCAACTGAGCTGGCGGTTCACCTGATGTTAAGTGGAAACCGCCGCCCATGGACATTTGCAACACCCTACGGGCTGCAGCAGCTTCGCCACCTTTAAATAAAGTGGGCCCCGGGTACCTCACTCACCAGACTAAACGCAGAAGTGTAACATTTCTAGTTTACAACGGTCTCCTGTGCGGTCGTGGTACTGATCCGGACGGATTCCGCGGCCCTACCACAGATTGAAAAATAAATATTTAAAGTATCTACTACCTGACCCATTTTTCAAGTACATTTAATATGCAACAGCCTATATTCCATATGTCCCATAGCTGGGCGCTGGGCAAAGGGTGGTCCGAGGGTTTGCCACGGATTGGCAGACGTCACATATCTCGCTACTTCCTGAAAATGGTTTTTTTAATACACAATAAAAGACATAATACACAACACAAACTTAATTTTGCTACAGAAAAATAATTAAAACAGGTCGGGGAAAAAGTTTCTTCGTAGTTTATATACAAATTCAAAATTTTTTTTCAAACATTCATTACATTTAATTTTCACAAATGCGTGCCAATCTTGTACCAAATCTTGTAGGTAGTGACATAATCCCTTTGTTGTAGAAATTGTGGGATCTCTGGAAAAAAAAATTGACAATCTTGTCTCGATGTTAACCCAAAACTACCCAAAGAATGTTGAAGAGACCTAAACATTTAGAAATCTGTTGTGCTGGTATCCTTACCGTGTCGATAAAAACGGTACCCCATAGCAAAATTGTATCATCCGTCTGTCTGTTAAGATCCATTGTTTTAAAGAAAGTCTAAAGAACTAGTGGCGTATTCCTATTAAGTTGATTTTTGTCTAAATACCTCTAGTTACCGAGCAAAATACATTCTCGGTCAATGTCATCAATAGATGCGTTGATTTATATCCCATGCCTTGATACTGAGTCGTTAAAACTTATAGGGAACTTCCTGTTGACACAGGCTCTCGAAAAATGACGTGCCGCTCGTGACGCAAATGGAGCCAAGGCCAAAGCATAAAATGTATTTTTTTTTTTTAATGAGAATCCCTAAACGTATATCATACACACCTCTAACATCATCTAAGTTTTTAAGAAAAACTATTTTTTGTTACATTAAATCGAAAAGAAAATATTTCAAATCTTCCTTGGAATTTTTAAGTGCTGTCATTATTGACATAATTATCATCATCCTGAAACAGCTGCCTGCTGCACAAATAGGTCAGTTCCACCGGGGAAGTATAACTAAATTATAGAAGACCGGCGTGAAGTAAATACATTTATACTCTTAATTTTGGTCAGTATAGTAGCCGAAGGCTCACCCCCTAAGCAACATGTTACCAATATCCCTGGTGGCGTGAGCGTATATGTTGGCTAAACTTAAGCTATTTAAACTAAACTAAATATGACCTACATTAGATGTACACGTGCTGAAAGATCTCCTTGATACGGAAGATAATAGGGCATAGTCCACCCCCAAGCCCACCGTGTTTTTTTTTTCGGAAATACGCCAGCTTCCTCACGCTGTTTCACTTCGCCAACGAGGAAGTGATAAATCTAGGCTATCTAGAAATAAACAAAAAAAGTATGAGTGTACTTACGTACGCACCTAACAAGTTATTCTTCCTCTGCATAAAGACATTAAATGAAATTGATAACAGTTTATAAATGATACTTGGAAAATGCAATTAGTGGCAAATGTCAAATTGTTGTTATTTGTTGCCAAAATTAAAATGGTCACCAAGCATCGTGTCGCTTTTTGAGGGTCGGTATGCGATGTGCACGCGCACCGTTAAATAATATTACTCATAATATTACCTTCAAAAGAAGTATAACTGCAATAACGGGTGACATTGTCGACAGCTGCTATGCGTGTTCCCGGAGCGAGCTTCGCGGTGTGTGCGCGGCCGCTTGTGCGGCGGCGGCACGCGCGGGGGGCGAAGCCCGAGCCGTGCGGAGCGCCCGCGAAGCCCTGGATTCCTTCCGCCGCGACATGGACACCCGTTTGCCGCACGTAGTGCTGATCGACGCGCGCCAACCGCAGTCCCTCGACGCCATTTTGTTGGCCAGGTAAAATTTATGTTAAGTTTATTGTATCTGCGAATATAGCAGCTCTAATGCCGAGCGACTGTATTCACACACGACCCTATTGTAGCGGGCCCGATTGACGCGGGGAGTAGCGTACCTGCCTCCTGCGTCAGAGAGTATGGGTTCGATCCCCGCTACTGGAAAAATATTGTGTGATGAACCTAGTATAATATATATTTATTTACAAACAAAAAGTATGTTTAAGTACATTTTTATTTTATTTTTATTTTATACATGGTGATATTTAAGACGAAGTACATACTATGACATAATGTTAATTGAGCATTCCATAATTTAAAAAAAATATTAATATTTTATTTTGATAAGAAAAAGCCAGAAAAATGTCAATTCAAACATTGTTTGTTTATCTCGTTTTTATGCGTTCAGGGAAAAGTTTCAGTGCTCATCAATAGGTTATTGTATTGAAACAGTAAGGCAGGAATTCTTAAGGTGTCCATAATGTTTGAAAAAATTAAAAATAATCTTTGAATAAAAAAATGAGGTCACAAGTACGTACCACATTCAAATTTACAATCAAATTCTGCATTCTGTTATATGTCCGTCGTCTATAAAATCATCCTGTATATATTTGTGGAAAACTTACTAGCTAGAACAGTTATTGTGTGATCAAATTTAACAAAATTAAGGCCAATTAAAAGTTTTCACAATTAGACATTTAATATCTCCCTAATAACCCACTAACAACTTTACCTTGGCTAGTCATTTGTTGGCGAGTTGTTTTGTTGTCCCTAGTAACAAAAAATGTTACCCGAGCACCTTATCGCTGAGGTAAGAGATTTTTCTCGTTTCTGGCGTAAAACTGTACTGACCCAATACAGTGTTTTTATAATTTTTATTAATGACTAACTAACACTAAACTGCGTTCCCACCCGATGAGTGTTTAAGTCAAAAGCGATAAATACAATGTCTGAATAAAAGCCTTAACTTTTTGATACCAACGTTGCAAATAAAATTATAAGACTTCATACGACAGCCAAGAGAATCAAGAAGAATATTCGCCATAGAATTTAAACGGACAATGTCTACATTTATGATGTGTAGTCTAATTTGAGTCAACATTTTGAGCAATATTCTGATCCAATGATATTTTCAGAAATAATTTCATTTTCTGTTCGTCTGATCTCTTTAGGTATAAGCAAATGGAATGGTCGGGTGACATTGATTGGGGTTCGGTATTCATATTTAACGAACCCTTTTATACAATTTAACATTTATGAGTGTGCTTCAATTTCTGTTAGAGGTAATTTATCGTAAAATTTTTGAATTTAGTTATTTCTATAAACGCGGCAAATGTCACATAGTTTCATAAAAACAAAAACATTTCGATTTTCATAACAATAATTATTTGGAAGCACTTGAAAGACTTGTTGGAAGAATTTTGTTTATCAAAATAGTGTTGTTTTTTCATCAATTTACAAAGGTATTCTTGTTATACATTCGACATAACTATATTCTTGAAACTTTAGTTAAGGATTCAATTGAGAAAGAATGATGATGAAACAAATCGACATGATGTAAAAATCTTAAAAGTTAACAAATTTTATTTAAAAGCTCAATAATTTTATTTAACTCAAAGCATAAATCTTATTATAATTTGATATTCATATAATATGAATATCATGTAAGAGAGTCATAAAAGAAATAATGAGCGGTTATTAGCTTTGTATTAAATGAAACAAAAACTTTGTACCTCTTTTATACAAAAATTGCGCGGACGGAGGAGTATGAAATTTTCCACCGCTATAGTATTTAGGTATAGAGAAGGACTGCAGAATGGCAATATTTTTTTAAATTATGCATAAAAAACATAAAATCAATAAAAAAACATTAAACACATTTATAATTAATTATGGTCAAATTTCTACCATTGGGCGACTACTAGTTAGCTTTATTTATCTTAAAAGTATTGTAATAGATAATGGCGATTAAAACGTATTTTAGTGGATCATTGCCACCGTTGATTGCCGAACGCTGTAAATAAATATCTATACATTAGTAATTAGTAAAAGATTTAAGGAACAGTTTGCCGCTATCAAAGTATTAGATATCATTTCCTTCCACAAAAAAAATATATTTCGAAAATATGTGAAGTCCGCCAATCCGCAGTGGGGCCGCGTGGTGGTCTATGCCCTGATGCCCTCTGTACAGAGGAGGCCTTTGCCCAGCTGTGGGACATGTATAGGCTGATACTTTTCTACTTCCTTAAACCTCTATGGTCAAAAAAATTGTAATAAATTTTTCTAAAGAATTTTATAAGTTCATCACTACTATCTCTGAAAATAAAATTATCATGGCATGGGAACAATAATTTAACTGTGGTAGGGCCAGGCCACCCAGTGTTCGCTGTTGAACAAATGGGCAGGTCCGAACGGGTAAGTACCACGATCTCGCAGAAGACAAGCGTGAAGTGGAATTGTCATACTTCTGCCTTTCGTCTGGTGAGTCAGGTAGCCGGGGCCACTTTATTAAAAGGTGGCAACGCATCGGCAACGCTACGGGTGTTGCAAATGTCCATGGGCGGCGAATATCACTTAGGTTATCACATCAGGTGAACCACCAGCTCGTTTGCCACTTTCTCATATAAAAAATAAACTGTACTAATCAAATTTGCCTTAGTTTAATTATTGGCTTATTTTATATGTCATAAAGCAACCAACGAGCAGTTTCACCTGATGTTAAGATGCACATGGGTACACATCAGAGATCTGTCTCTTGCACCATGGGTGTGGGTGCGATCCCCTCTGCTGAAATAACATTGTGTGATGAAATAGAATTTATCTAGTATCTGATTATTTATATATTTATTAGCGGACCCGACAGACATTGTCCTGTTAACACGACTGAAATCCGAAAACAACTTTAAAAATAAAAATAATTTATTTATTATTATTATTTTTTATATATTATTTTTTATTATTAATGTGGACTGAATTGTGAATCTAAACCATTCTCGAATCAACCTGAAGACCCACACACAAAATGTCATTATAATCGGTCCAACCGTTTAGGAATTCAGTAACATACACACGTTCATAAGAATTATATATAACGATAACATTTATTTATTTACATGATAACAGTATGTTTTAGTATGTTTATCAGTTACCTAGTATTTATTACCCATTGTGACTAAACAAAATTGTGTAAAAATATGTCCCCAAAATAATCTCAAGTAAAGCTATATATGATAGGGTACTATTAATTATTCCGCGTGGTTTATCGTCTGGAACCCAAGGAATTTAAAGCTTGCACAATAAACTGGTCTAATAAAGTTTCTAGACGGTCTCTTGTCAACACTTCTTGATCGGGCGTTGAATTATTTCGACATTTTGACACCGCGGTTCAATTCCTCTAATGTAAACTTGTCAAAACCGCCGAGCTTTTGTCTCCATCACCGAGCTTTGATGTCAATCATCAGTTAATGTTCAAACATTTAGTATTCTAAACAATTGCAATGACATTTGTCAGTCCCGCACTACTATTGTATCATATATACTATATATTATACATTTTATTATTAACAATACAATACATATTTCGTGTTCATTTAAATACTTTTTTTCACTTTGGGAAATTGAAACACGAACACCTCATATCGAGATCAGAACATGCGCCGAGGTGGCGCTGTTGACGACGAATGTTCTCAAAAATAATTGGTGCAATCTGTGAGTTTGCGTTTGTACTAAAATTTCCGTTTTCTATTGCACGCCAATGATATTATATGCAAATACGAGGCTTACATTAAAAACAAAATTGGTGTACCAACTGGTAATTAGATTACAATTCTACATATACCTATCTCTTTTCGTATCATACGTTCTATATCATCTGTGACATTCACTGATATGTCATAATTATATGACTTATATCAGTGGATGTTGTGAAATTGTTCCGCTTTACATTAGTACACTTTTTAAACACTATTTTCATCGACGTTTCACGCCTTATGCCACGAAACGGTTGAGGTTGTGCTCTACTCTCGACACGTCAAAGTCAAGCAATATTTTGCTCTTAAACTGCCTCTACCGCAAGCAATAATATAATTTAAGTAGATTTATTTCAAGAAACCAGTTTAAATAATCTGGCTCACGTTGAGTAAAAATCAATTTTATTTTTCTTTTTAAAAAAAAAACTTTTTTATAAGATAATCACGATAAACCCGAAAATGTTATTTAATTATCTTCAGAAAAAAATCAACTATATACCTACCTATTCAATATCAATCAAATAATAGCTTAATACCTGTAGTTTATTAATAAAGTAGTAGTTTTTACTAATAAAGTGAGTTTTTTAATTGTCTAAATAATACAATTAAGTCAATGGTACGGTTTATTCTTTTTTTTTTCTTAATAATCAAATAAATGGTATGAGGCGTGGAATTTTGGATTTTCCTAATTTTTTATATATTGCTGCGTCTTTCTCTATTAATATGTTCCTTGTCGCGTTATAACCTTTTTCCACGGCGTAGATGTATTTTAAAAATATGAAATATTCCTTTATCTTGAGAAAGACAAAATGAAAATGTCAATTACTTATCTAATTCAGTTGATATAGGTAAAATAAATTCGTCCGCCGCGCCGCTGAGAATACCCCATTTCAATCTTATTCCATACTTATTCACTAAGCTCTCCGCATAATGCGCCGAGAGAGATGCGGTCACCGCCGCCTTTGATATACGTCTACAGCAACCGTATGCAAATGTAAATTAGAAGATTTACTGAATTAATATTGTAATTGAAATAGAGTTAGTAATGGCTTTGTTGCTGCTAATGATGTCTCGGGCACTGAGCAAGCGCAGTGCTAATCGCAGTGGGACTTATCGACACGTTTTTCATTTGCTTATCTTCTTATGAAATCACTGTGCCACAACGCGACTAAAAGTAAGTAAATAGGGATCTTCAAGTGGTCGCTGTTATGTTTATCCATTTATTTATAACCCAAACTTGGGGCCACGCAACACTGTTGCACGAATGGGCAGGTCCGGCCGGTCTCGTGAAGTACCACGACCTCACAGAAGACCGGCATGAAGTAGAAGTGTTACACTTATGCGTTTCGTCTGTTGAGGGAGGTAGCCGGGGCACTCTTTTATCATTATTTAAAGGTGGCAACGCATTTGCAACCCCACGGGTGTTGCAAATGTACATGGGCGGCGGTTATCACTTAACATCAGGTGAAACGCCAGCTCGTTTGCCACTTTCTCACATAAAAAAATAAATTAAAATTGGAAATTCAGTTCGGAGTACTTTGGAGACACTTACAGTGTTACCACTCACTATACGAAACACGAATTATTAATACTTCCGCTAGCCTTAACACTGAGAAAACATTAACGTACGTCGATTGTTTTCCCAGTCGAACCGGTCCATTCAGCTAGGAAATAAGCCACGTATCACCAGCCACGTATCTCTTCTATACTGTTATATTTTCTATTGTGCCTGAATAGAAGCTTCTCTTCTTAATATCTAACTTTCATGATTATATAATGCGTAACAAATACATCTTCTCATTGTACAATAAATAAATTATCATAACAGCTATTTCTTTCACAAGCAAAGCTTAAGTCGGCTTTATATTACAAGCTGGGTGAATGCAAAACTTTTTAACGGGAGAACTTCAGGAAATTCAAATATTAACTGCTTGCAAAGTAACGATGTCGCGTACCAGGTAAATTTCTCCAATATAAAAACTTCGTCATACATACAGAGGAAGATATAATAAAAACGAACGAAATTATGGAATTTTGTAAGTACGGAATTTTGTATCGTTTCGAAAATAATAATATACTAAAATATTTAATTATTGATTTTCTAAATAATTTAACCGGTTCGGAAAGAAAGTCTAACTGACCTGTTAAACAACTGGCAATAGAAAATGTCCTGCTGGGTAAACGTCCTTTTTTACCAATATTTGACAAAAAAGACATGTTTGTGATACAGTATTAAGGTGCACTAGAAAGGAGCCTGGAGCAGATCAATCTCGATCAAATCAAAAGATCTTCAGAGTGTGATATCATTTAAGTAATCACTTATGTCATAATATAATATATTATAATAACCACAATCGTTCCTTTACATTTTTCTTAATTTAGCAGCTGATTATTTTTCTGGGATTTTGTTGCAATATCGTATACATTGTCCCATAAAAGACTTACTTATTCTGCGTAGTCCAGTTGTTTCTTAGAATTAATATTTAAATTATCAGACAACAGCGCACTTCACTCTTGTCGTCGTTACTAAGTTTTAAACAGATCCTATTATTTGGTTTTACTGTTACGTATTGATATATCATGAAGCAGACCAACGCTAATAAAAACTGAGGTAAGGCAATAAATAGCAAATAATAATAAAAAAATCAGAACATAGTTTTACACCTCGTTATCTAGTCCCAAACTGGGCAAAGCATTTTTTACTGGGTAAAACATAAACGTACATTTCTTCTGTAAATAAATACAAATTATTAATACATTAAGACCTAGACGCCAGAAAAACACTGATATCACACAATATTCTTTCAGTAGTTGGATTCGAACCAAAAGTTGCATCAGCCAGCCCGCCTTATAATGGTAACATTAGATGGACCGCTTGACAACTTTTCACAGAACAAAACGCTTTGAACGGAAAAAGAAGGTGTGCGTACTCTTGTACGTACGTAAGAAGCTATAGTTCTTTGGCGTAACAAAGAAAAACAAACATACTTTTTATAAACATATTTTTTATACATTTTGGATATTTGGATTTATTTTCACGCGAAATGAAGTATGACTTCAAAAGTAGATTTCAAACCATTAACGCAATTGCGAAAACAAAAGCCCTAAACACCATTTCTCCAAATTATTAATTAAAAGTAATGTAATTATTACCCCCGAAACAAATATCTAAATTTAATTAATAACTATTAAACTATCTTATGATATCATGTACGTGAAAGTTAATTAATTCATTAAGTTAATTTATTCCTATTAAAATTTTATCAACAAAGGACTGATTGCTTACTTTAACTGTTGCAGCTACAGTCATCACACACTTATCTTTAAATGTTAATGAATCTGTGAGGGTTGGCAGGTATTATACTCAATTTCGAATCATTAGCCGATGTACTCGAACCGATGTATACGCTTGAACAAAGACAACACTCATAGTTCTTTAAAAAACAAATGACCCACAACATAATGATAAAAAGTGATTGGTTTTATTGAAATTATAAGAGCGTACAATTCTTACTTCATCCCAGTGAGTAAGGAGTCTCAACCTGTCACGTTTTAAGATTAGGCCAAGGTTAAAATATTTGGGGATCTGCTACGATTTGCAATTTAACGAGGTTTGTTGTATTTAATTTCCACTTGTTAGTATATTTTTCCTAATATTTTCTATACATCATGAAATGTTTTGTTTAACTAGCTAGAAAAACTGCATAACATCAAAAAACCTTCTGGTATCTTTACCTAAAATGATAATTGTTTCGCGAAACGAATTTTATTAATGGTTTATCACTCCTGAATCTATTATTAGTTGTATTTTTTTGTGAGTTCAAAATCTTTTTGGCACATAACATTTTTTACCTGCTCACTTTAACTTATGTTTGGAATACACGATTACCATGTAACCCGAACGCAAGCTTAATCCAAGGTGCCGTAATGAACACGTAATACTATTTATCAAAAAAAAATTGTCCAGCATGCACATTTTGCAGAATTATTCACAATTATTTTTTACACTTGGTAATTTTGAATAGTCATAGTGCCTGAAGATAATTCAATGCTATACAGATTATTGTGAAAAGGAACTCTTCTCACAGTGATCTAATTTGATGACATGTAATATATTACTCTATTCTTTTTTGTTTCAGAGCCATAAAGGGAATGAAAAATACGCAGCACATAATTATCGTGGCAATTGTCAAGAAAAGGTAAAGTAAATCAAATCTCTTATATAATTAATATTCAATGTTAATATGAAATTATCACCAAAGTTCAGAGATGACGTGGAAGTGGCATGTCACGTGTCTTCAGGCAGTTGTTAATTGCTTTTTATTCTTTCATCAGATTTTAAATAAAAAATGGAAATATAATTCATTAAAAAGGAAAACTAAAATTTACCACTTAAATGTAAGTCATTAAAACAACGTTTACAGCATAATATCAAATTTATATAACTAAAGCATCACAAACTACGGCTTACGCTCCGCTAAAATAAGGTCTGAACATTAAGTCCAGGTTCTTACCTGATGTTAACCTACCTCAAAATAGGAAAAAATATTAATCCTCATCTTATCTAAAATTTCATGGCAAGCGGCTTGATTATTTTTAAATAGATTTTATTTAGCGTCGACGACAATTTACTTCAACGCCTTAAAAAAACTATACATTAATGAAATTTATAGATTCAGATGATTCATAATTATAAAGTTTAAAGTATACTTACTGACTTTGCATGCACGTCTATAGAAATTTGCAAAGTTTCCAACTTTCTTTTAACGCTTAGAGCCAACAACGTTTTGCATTAAAGAAAGTAATACTTTGACAACGGCGTACAATAGTTTTAAAATACCTTTGTTACCTTTGTTACTTGTTGATATATTTCACTTTGTTTCATTTTTAACATCTTAGTTGATATGACTCATTATAATCATGAATTTAGCTTGTAAAGTCCCCCGTAGTATAATATACTTTATTTTACTAATTTCATAAATACGTAAAATATCCTTCATATAATTCTTTCATTTCAATGATGATAAAAATATGGTGATCACATAAAATTCATATTAATATTCCACAAGAATCTGTACCACTCCCGTGAGATCCCTCTAAACAATTCATCGAGAAATTGCTGTTTACCAGCTACGGATGAAATTAAATATAATTTACTTTGCGACGCCGTAGGTACATCGTAACTTCGTTTTCTCACAGGGTAAACACACCTAAGAGAATTTTTTATAAACACCTATTTAATGTATATTCAGTAAGGAAATTTTCCTCTGTATGATTTTCATTGATTATGGTGGTAAAAGAGTGTAAAATATAATCCATAAAGTTCATAAATACCTTAAAATTCCTTTTTATTTTACGTAATTTTTAACGCTTTCTATACGTTTAATAGTTTTAAAATTCAACATAAACTTGGGTATTGGCCAATAACTTGGTTATGAGTATTATAAAATTCTCTTTTAATTGCGTTTTGGCGTTTTTAGTCTAGTGTTTTTAACAAATGACAGACATTTGATATTAATTTATGCAGTTTTCGGATGAAAAATAATACTTCTCTTAATTCAAAGGATTTTGTTAAAAACTATAACACCATTGTACCCATTGGAAAGGCTGAATAAACTTAATGGTAAATAAATTATAACTTTTATTACTGATATATCATTAAAATATTTATTACGAGCAGTATAAAACTTTTGGGCACAAATACGCAATATATCCACAATTTATTAACTCATAAAATGTTTTATTTTCGATCTTACGCGCGGAATAAATATTTAAATTTAACTGATCTGACGTCAATACTATGGGCATAACGTTATAACTTACTTGCTTCGACCTTCCTAACTTAAGGAATGATGGGCTTCTATTTTTTCTCCAAAACTTTATCAAGTGAAGCCGTTGCAAAATAATAAATAATAAGGATTGCGAAGTGAGAAGAAAACGTTTGGGAACAATTGATTGTTTTAAGAGCACAACGGGCTGTGAAATGCGTCAAATCGACAAAAGAATCAATTAAAATAATGACAGCGAATGAAACGAAAACCATTCCAGTGAGTAATGACTTGTATTGTTTTATTACTCCAACAATAACTTGGGGAAGTTCGTTAATATTTCCATCGAGTGAAGTACGAACTTTGATATCGGCCGCAAATGGAACTTCAATTTACTGAGATGGGCGACCATTTGCTTTCGTTTTTCCGTTTCCTGTATTCACTTTTTTCTATAACATTGAAAAGGACTTTACGAGTTTAAGTAGAAGTTTGTTATATGAACCCAAAATGAGTTAAATATTTTTCAAAATCATATTGATCGATATTTTAATTAAACACTAGCACCCAGTTTCCGAAAGCGCAATCAATTTTAATTTACGATAAATCTCTTGTCAAACGTTGTTTAACATGATCTGAGTTGCTAGAACGTCTGAAAACAACATTGATTTTGATTTGTAATTAGTCACTGATTAACGGACAATCAACAGGAAATCGAGTTTCTGAAAGCATTTTTCGGTGGTCAACGATCTGTCAAAAGTTTTATTAAGTAATCTGTCAATTTGGACAAATCATCAAATCAATCGTTGGTTAAAAATGTATTTTATCAAAAATCTTAGTTTTTATTAAAAATAAACATAATTCTCTAATACGTCGTAAGGAAATTCATGTGTTCTATTACCTATTTATTATTTATTATTATGCGAACATATCATGCGATTAGAAAAAATTGAAAATGCAATTCAAAAGTTAATAAATAATATGGATTCTTTCTTTTTCTAAGTATTACTTGTTTATTATGCATAAAAGTTCATTTTTTTCACGTTCTGTAAAGTTTTTTCTTGACATTTTGCATGTATTTATATAAATTAAATTTTATTATAGCTCGGATTTTTAAGTTGGCAATCACACGGTGACAGGACTGGATAGTGACGTTAATTTAAGTTTTGTTTAAAAAGGGACAGCTATACAATAGAAAGAGTTAGTTGAAGTAAATCATTCATTTCATTCATTATCATTGGTTATACAGTGATTAGCAATTTTTTCTTGAACAAACCTTCCAGAAACCCAAGGTAGTTTAACAAGAGATTAACAGCTGATCATTTTTGACATAGTGTTATGTGATTGCTGCTTTGATTGGCCTTTCGGAAACTGGGCATAGGTGTTTTATTCTATTTTGCATGCCAATTCACATTTAATAACTTAAAAGTCAAATACTAACTCGAGACTCAACTCAAGTCAAGACTAATTCATTAAAAAATACGTTATTTTAAATGCAACTGCATCTAATTGCGTGAATGCGTCAATTTTACTGTTTTAATTTAATTTACTCCTACATCGTCTATATATTAATACTTTTGACGAAAATTTCGTGGACGGACAAGTATAAAGTTTCCCACACATATAGTTTATACAGGTATAGAGTGCAGAATGCTAATATTTTTTTTTTAATTATGCTACTATTATAATTAATTATAGCCTAATTTCGACCACTGGGCGACCACTAGTATATAATTGCTGCTTCCTTGTAGTTAATCTAAAAAGTCTGTATGGCACTACCTCTCTCTAGTCTCGATTAATAATAGCGTAATTATATCACTCACTCAGACGGTGGGCTGTAATTTTGAAATTCATTCCTCGTTAAACTCGCTGCACGTGGTCTCACTTTGCTTAATCGAATTTATGCAAATGCAGTGCCATATGTTATTACTCTACTTATCAAAGGAAATTGATTATCATTTAAACGAAATAGGAAGAGTTTACGAGAAGAGTCACAAAATACGACGGTGCAAATGCATAGAAGCAAAAGCTTTCAAACTGACGTTCGTATTTTTCGTCGAAATATATCGATCAATGATTAGCGAGAAGTACGTTATCAAATAAACAATGTACAGGAAATCTATTATGTGATGACGTTGACTGATTGCTGATGACGAAAACTTCCTTATCATATTCCTAGCGCATCCGTATTTTAGTTTTAATCGATTTTTTAAGGCTAAAAATCGCAATCGATCTTATCTACAATTGATGTCGCATATTATATTTTTTTTATCAATAATTAAATCATCGCAGGTACTAATAACGCCGTATTCCTTATTTGGATGTAATTTTTTTTTCACACTCTTAATTATTTAGGGAACTAAATTTAACGCTAGTAGTAATAAAAAAAGTGTTTTTTTTTTTTTCAGATATATTATTATATGTTTAATATTGCTCTGCCAAATAAGACTTGAACATTTACAAATGTTTTTCGTCTTGGACGGTGAATTAAACAAAAATATGAAAATATGTGAATTTAACTCACTGAAAGTCAGTGAGTTAGATTCACATACAAATCATCATAATTCACATACACAGTTCAAAACGTTTAGAATATCAATAGTATTCAAAATATCTTGTTAACTTTTACATTTTTTGCTTATAAACACGTCGTAATGTCTACGTCAGATTTCTTTTTTAATGATTTACAGTGCATTAAACTTGTGTAGCGTTTATGAGCTACAAAACACAATGAATTGCTACGTGCTCGTAGCACTCCCCCGTGTGATATTTGTCTACAGCTTCCATGATGTTAATGTCTACAACATAGTCTCACTCAGCTATGAATGCTGCTATTACTCCGAGTAAGAGAGATTCTTTATTACTGTTATTAGTTTATTTATTTATTACGATACTGAGGAAAACGGATAAAAACGAATACTAATGAAGATAAATATTCTATTGATCTTAAGCTAAAAATGAAAACACTTGGATAATTTAATTCAATATCAAAAAAAGGTTCCAAAAGGGTATTAGTGTAGTTTTACGATGGTAGCTCCACAGCAGCTTTGCTGTTACATTTATCAACCGACTTGTTCGAGGAAGAATCACGGCTTGTCTTCAAAACGGCTAATAGTGGATTCTTTCACTCATTTCGGCTCTTGGTTGACGTAACCGAAACCGATTGTGTTGTGTTACTTTTCTGAGCGCGGCATTTGATAATTTCACATTGGCGCTTTTGAGTCGTTGGCTGGCAATTTTGCCGCCACGCCCGTTATCTTTAGGGTGACAGTCTGATTGAAGTTAAATTGGTCAAGTAGATCGAGCGGGTTATTAAGATAGCGACGTAGATAACCCATCGACGGGCGCGACGTATGGCTGACGTTGACATTTTATTAAATCAGCTCTCAATTTAAATCGTGTACATACATTATACATTCATACAGCCATGGCAG